GTACTTGTTGTCGAGCGCTCTCCACTTCACCTCGCACTCTTCACTTCGCCGTGCGCTCTTCACTTCACCGCCCGCTCTTTCACTTTGTCGAGTGCTCTTCACTTTGCCGCGCGCTCTCCATTTCGCCGCGTGCTCTTCACTTCGCCGCGCACTCTTCACTTCACCGCGCACTCTTCACTTCACCGCGCACTCTTCACTTGGTCGCGTGCTCTTACTATCACCGTGGCGATGCCTGCCTTCTCCATGCTGCGATGCCTCCCTTCTCCTCAGACTCCTACCGTCGTGCGTGTTTTCATGGCCAGGAAAACCTTGGTCCTTACACCCCAAGCTGAATTGATTTGGAAGGACCCATGGCCTATTGGGTTTCTGTGGTCATTACAGACCTTATGAGAGCTTGTAACTAATACCTTGATATAGTGCACTATGAACTTAGTGGGAGTGTGGTCCACAACTGGACAATGATAGGCAAATGTCATCTGTAGATACTTAGACTTGGCTTGACGTGCTAGACCAGTCGAGTTGGAAAACCCCAATGACATAGGCACATAATTAAATCAATGAGGGTTTTATGGGTCATCCCTTGATGAAGTCGGAGTTGCCCAAGTGTGTGAGCCGAGGGACTGTACAACCCTTGTGCGTGATGGTTGCTTTTAGAGACAACGGTCAAAGCCTTGTCACTGAACCATCACACGACATGTATATATGATAGCCGTATTGGGGAAGTGAACTACTTTTGAGGGTAGAGCATGTACATGTGTGAGAGATTACCCAAATGCACAATAGAGCTGTGGTTGCATCTGGTCTAGGCGACAATGGGTTCGTCTATAAGGGAGAACAGGTGATCCACAAATTGAGATTGTGTCACATTGCCTATTAGTTGACTTTAATAACCCAATTATGAAACCCTACTATGGTCTATGGGTTATGGGAACTGCTAAATCAATTTGAGAAAGCAAATGTAGATTATAGTCTGCAGTAGAAAATAAAATGCTTCAATAATATTATAATTTTTATACCTAGTTGAATCTGATTCCCATCAAAATTATTTGTTTTTTGATTATTTTAATGTTATATAATTTTTAGATTGATTATTTAAATTTTTATGAGTATCTAAATATTTTATTTTTGTAAAATGAATTTATAAATTAAAAGATATTCAATTTTCAGTATTTTAATATTCAGAATAAAATAAAATTTATTTTTAATTAACTAAAAATCAATTTATGAATCTTATAATTAATTAAATTTGTGGGGCCCCATACTGAGCTTTTGCCCACCATCAATTAAGTCACATGAGGAATTGAGTGGGGCTCAAATGTGGCCACATATCGTGGTACACCCTACTCAAAGGGAAACCATCTCTTACCTTAATGTTAAACACATGGTGATGTTTGGTGGGGGACCACTTGAGACCATCTAAGGGTGGCACGCCCCACCAAAAATTGATTGGAACTTACGAAATGTGTACAAGCCACTATAGGCTTGTAAATCAAAGTTGTAAATTTTTTGCATGATTTGAAATCAAGGATGTTTGATTTCAAACAAATAAATCATGCATAAAGAATGTTAGGAAAAAATATAGAATAATTGATAATATTTTTCATATTTCATATTTTGATGGGATTATGTTTAAGGAGGCTAAAAAATAAAGCTTTACACCCAATAGGTTTCTTATGATTAAGATCAATGATTTGGATCAGATGATTGGGGTTGGGTCGACCCGACCCCGTTATGCATTATAACATTAGTATGTTAAAGTTTTGATTAATTAATTTTTTGTATTAGATACTATATTAATTTAATTAAAGTTCTGATTACGTAAGTTCTTATTGCGTAATTAAAGGGATCATTTGTTTTGTTTTTTTTTTGGGTAGTTCAATGGTAGGAATCGAACTTGAGACGTGGCCCTTGCTAATCATTAGTCGCTAACCAATCAAGTCTAAGTTCGATTCCTAAGAACTGAATCAAGATTACTTAAGTTACTAATACATATTGAATTAACAATTAATATACACCCACACACACCCCTATGTCCCTTCCAAAACCTAGTTTGAGTCGACTTGCCTACCCGTATGCCAGTCCTATAAACCAAAGGAAGATAAAGAGCCATCCCCACACCTTGGATGGCAATGTGCTTGGCCCTAGCTCAATCTTGATCTTTATGGGGTTGGCCATGTCTCTGTGACTAAGTAAAAAAAAAAAGAAAAAAGAAAAAAGAAGACTCAAGCCGGGTCGTCGGGCCTATTGTCAGCCCTAACCAAACAAAGGGGTTCTAGAGAGGGAGACGTCTTAGTGGGAGAAAGAGATCCACATGCAAAGTGAGGTATGAGAACATTCTTCGGTCGCATGCGTTCTCCCGGTTTTGCTCTCTCTCTCATGCCCCATGTGCCTCCCCTCCCCTCCCCTCCCCACTGCACTTTTAAAAACCCCTTTCATCACAGGTACACAAATATCATTGCTCCCACTCACAATTACCGAAATGCCCTCCACCACCCCATTAATGAGAATGATAAGAACGCGGCAATGAACCACAGCGTTCATGAAAACGAGCAATGTATGTAGATGGCCACTTTCGTCCTCTCTCGGCTCTCCATCTCTTCTACTTATACACTCTTTCTTTTTTTAATTCTCTCTCCTTCCATTTATAGTAGGCACCTCTCTCTATCTAGGAGTTTCTCTCTCTACATAATTACCTTTATTTATTTATTTAATGGGTAGGTATATATATATATATAAATTATATGAAATTATAATTTTAAAATATAGAATTAAATATGCACCTAAAAAATTTATTGAAAATATTGTTTTAATATTGAAAAAACTGATCATCTCGACATCAAGAAGTAATATGAGGAAAAAAAGATTTTGAGTTCAAAAAATAATGCATCTTGCAACCTATTATCTAGATCGTCTATTTTCAAGATTTTCATATATCAATAGATCTACTTAATTTTAACATTTTTTGGGGTTTAGAATTTAATAAACATGAAGATAGGTTTTTAGATAATCTTAATAATTTTTTACAACAAAATTATATGTTATGATAAACTTTGGAGGTACGTCTTAATTGAATTGTTTAAGGTAGCAAACTTATAAAAACCACACCCGTAAATAAATCCTTTATTTCTTTCCTTGTATTCATCCCCCTTTTCCTTACCCACTTTGTTTCAATGGGGTAAGAATTTGATAGGTTGTCCACTCAATACACCCCATCTCTCTATCTCTTTATTCTCTCTACTCATGTGAAATTTGGAGTGGTATAGTGTGCTCCTGCAGGAGGTTATTGTATACTTATTTCTTAGGGTTAAAGATTTAAGATTATTATTATTTTTCTTTTTAAAATGTTAAAAGGTGGGAATATGTAGGACATTATGTTGAGACATCCGTTCGCTGTAACTATATGTGCCCCACTGCCATTCCCCTTCATATCAGTTTATTATCTAGAATTTTCAAATCTACTCTAGAATCACTTTACTACTTTCAAAAAATGGCCTGAAGTTATGAATACTATTGCACGAAAATTAGAAAGTGATTGTTAAATTTTCGAATATTATCTCTTTTCAGAAGAGAGAACCTCTATGTTGAGAGCCTTTGATAGAGCAAAGTAACGGTTCATAAAACCAGTATGGTGACGATAATCTCTTCATATATTAACTATTCTATGAAACCACCATGGTGATGATGATCCCTCTTCTTGTGAAAAAGTATATGATTTTCTTAAAGAGGTTGGTCCCTACTCCATACGTATCCCCCAAATATTGAATCCGAATAAATCTTGTGGATAGGGTTTTTACCTAGGGGAGCATATACCCGCGGGAGCAAGTAATCTTTTGGGAAAATTTATGGGTTGGATAGCGTGAAGTGGGGAGTGACCCGCACCATCGTACTTATAACTCTGCCCTACGTTTTTAGCTCATTCCATATTTTGTTTCCCATTCTGCCCTTGGCCGTCCCCTCCACTTCAAGTCATTTATAGTTCATTGGAGGAAAAGCCTTGTGGTCTGAATAGAAGACCAAAATACCCCCAACCAGAATATAAGGTTTGGTATTATTAATATGCTCGAATTAGTGTTTTAAAATCGGGTGATTTGCAACTTGGATTATTGATTCTGATCTAGATCATCGATTTTACCTTAGAATAAAGACTAAATTGGTTCCAAAAAGGTATTGGTCTCAACCAATTTTCCCAAACCCTAAAACATCTCATTTCATATATTCAAAAAGATATTGGTCTCAGACGAACGGTGGGTGGGCATCTATATGCCCTATTATTGTGCCACGCATAGACAAATCCTAAATTTCTTTCAATCAATGGGCTCTGAATTTTGTAGAGCCAGATACATTCTTCTGTAAATGATACATAACATGTACATCCAATTGTGTTTTGTGACTAAGAATAAATAAAAATACATACACCCGAGGGATACACACATTTTAGGGGTATTTTTGTTCACCCACATTACAAGGGTATTATGGTCATAATTTGAAACAAAGGGAAAACAATTTTATTCAATTGGGCTCGGTTTCTATGCCGCCAAGCCTGCCTATGTAGAAATGAGGGCATATTAATAAATATATTTTTGAGATGGATTTTAAAATTTGATTTTGAAGAACATGTAATCTCTAACATGGAGAACATGAATATGAAAAAATAAATAAATTTTAAAAATTAGAAATAATAATTATAGTAGAAAAACATTTGGACCGTTTGTTTCCATTATTTTTAGATGGAACACCTACTTCCATCCATCTTTAAGATGGATGCATTACATTTTTTGGGCGGCATATGTAGAAATTCGGTCCAGCCTGCATGAAAAAATATTCCTATTCAATTTGCATTCAAGCAAAATTTCAAATATCCAATAAATTAATTAAGAAATAAATTAATTTGAAACTTGGAGGACAGTTCTGAGATAGTTAAGACGAATGAAGAACTTTTATGGAATAGTTAATATATATAAAAATACCTTTGTCCCCTTCTTTTCTCACACCAGAAGCAACAGGAGAGAGCATCGTCATCATCAGCAGGAGTCAAAGCTCTCATTCTCTCTCTACTCTCGCTCTTTATTCTCCGCGATTTATCCAGGTAACACTTTCTCACTCTTAGGGTTTCTCAGTTCCTCTCACTCTTTCTCTTTTTACAAATCCCCAGTTATTCGTTCATTTGCAGCTGATATTGCCTCTCGATTAGGTTTGTTTTCTTTCACTCGTTTGATGTTTTTACAAACATATGAATCGTTGCTCTTTTTGTTGGAAGCCCTAGTTCTTTTTTCGGTTTGTGTTTGCTGGAATCTTTAGATTTGAAGTGTTTATTTGTGTGACTGGTGTGTAGTTCATTTAGGGCGTTGATTTTGGAGGGATTTGGAAGTTGCAGAGGGTTTGAATATTGCCTCTCTCTTGAGATTCATGAAATTTTGCTTCTTTTTTTCTTTGGGTCATGTTTTGTTTGAGGGATTTACTTTGTTTCTTTTAGCAAACAGAATTATAAGGGGTGGCCTCATAGTTTTGGCGTATTAATTTCTGCAAAGAGAATTATAAGGGTGGCCTGGCCTCATAGTTTTGGCGTATTAATTGCTGTGTCTGAAGTTCATGATAAGTGTTGGTAAGTGTTTTGGAGATGTATACTAATGACTTTCACAGCTTACAGCTGACACAGAGCAGTTTAGTTGTTTTGGTTTAATTACTGTTATCAATATGGTTATTAAAAGGACACATGCTATGGTTTTTTGATTTAATATACTTGGCCTGGGTTCTTGCTAGCTTAAGCTGTAAGCAGTCACTTTTCTCGCACAAGCGATATCCTCTCTGTTTTAGAATGACTTTGGGGTCTTTTAATCCACACCGTTATGTAGGAAATTGGCTTTATAACTCAAAATTGTTGAACTTTGTCTGTCATGAGTGCAGGTTCCTGTGTAGCATATAAGGAATCAATATAATAAGTGTTTGGCAGAGAGTGATTACTGGACTGAGTTGGGAAGGTTTTGACCCAACTGTGATATTCCAGCCAACAAGAAATTTGGCATACTCTATTGTGCTTCTCATTATTTTATTCTAATTTCTTTCTTCTACTGGAGATCAGTGCATAGCCTCAAATTTAGAGGGCATCATGAACGTGCAGTATCTCTCTCCAATAATCCATTGGCAAGCAAGGCTTGAATAACTAGGTGGAGATAGTGCCAGTTTAATCTCAACAATTTAGATGCAACTTGTAGCAATGCAATTGTAGAGGTGTTTGGTCTCAGTTTCCTTATTATTATCATCGACTGGTTTATTATCTGAAATTGGGGGCATTTAAGGAGAATCTCTGGCAGTATTGGGCATTTTTGCAACTCTCACATGTTCTTAATGGTTCTCCCCAAGTTCAAACACTGTTGCTGAAGGATTTTCTTTCGCAAAGTAAGACTTGGATCTGACATTTTGTACTTAATCAGTTGTTGAAGAAAATAGGTTTTCCAATCTAGAGAAGTACAACTTGGGGTGTTTTTCATTGTGGCTACGATGTTGGGTTGCTTGCCAGTTAGACTGTACTTTGTGGCTTCTATGAAGGTTCATTGACTTCGATGACTCATGGTCAGATGTAAATTGTTTGAGACTTTACGATGGTGGATAGAAATTGTCGCTTATAGTAGGGTTGATGCTGGAGGCAGTATGCCGGTGATTGTGAGGAGAGATGCAAAGGTATACTGCTGCCAGCTGCGGTGGTGGAGTTAGCAATAGTGCTGTTGGCGGGGGTTCTGCAAGGGATTCCACGAGAGCGGATTCTTCTTTTTCACCAAACTTTTCACTGAATCCAAGGTAAATGTTTGCTAACTATGATTTTTCGAAATAATGGTTGCCATTAAGGAGGTTTCCATGTTTGAGATATTCGGATTTTGGAGACTGAACGTTACTTTTGACTCAAATGATATGGAATTGCATATGTTCTTTCTTTCTTCCTGTGTTTTTTATATAAGTAAACAAATTTATTCTGTATGTTTATTTCGAAAAAAGGAAAATTATTGTGTGTGATGTGTGAACATGCTATTTGGTGGTTTTATTACCCAATATTCCATGTTATTTTACCTGTTGAATACTATGATAATTTATCAGATTAGATGGAAATGATGCTGAGTTTCGCCGGGACGCACTCATATTTGTATGTATGAGTATTGAAGTTGGTGTAAACTAGTGCAATTTAATGTCTTAATATCAGCATACTTGACCATGATTCTTTTTGCATTCACAAAATGCACATTTTTGCATATATGATATTAAGTCTCGCGAGGCTTATAAGGTTTATTTTGTTTTTTCAATATTCATATGGTATTTCCTGCCTATTGTAGGCCTTTTACCTCATATGTATTTCCTCATATACAAACAATTGAAAACATTGATTTATACATATCTTTATATATACATTCTTTATATATACATCGACATACGCAAACATTGTTTTTAAAGTTGAATATGTTTTCATTGAAAAATTAACTTCGGTTCCAAACACCACATTGAAACAAAGATGTGTAGATCTGAGAGGAAATGGTCGATGGGTGGCACTATATAAGAGGGAATGATATACTGAGAGGGATGGTGAAGATTTTATTCTTTCATTAGTTTTGGCCTGCTGTTGTTCATTCAAGAAACCTTGTGGATAGGAGATAGCTAGAGAATGTCTCTGTAGAGATCTTTTACCGGTGAGTGTGACTCACCCTTAGACCCTTAGAGTTATTAGACCCTTAGAGTGAGTGTTATTTGGGAATTGTATTTGCATGCTGTGGGGGGGATGGAGAGGTGACAAAGGAGTTATATAAGAAGGAAGTTTTTTTTGTTTATATTTTTTTGGGATTGGGGATTTTGCTATATGGTTTTGGTTTCTTAGTTCAGATAGATGCTAGAGGATTTGGTGCTGGAGTTGTCAGTGCTTCCTGCTAGTGGATTCCATTTGACCTAGTGGAATGAGGAGGATTTGTGGGTATTTCCAGGGAGGCCATTGACGGCTTTGTGTTGTGATCTGTTTATTCAATGCTTTCAAGTGGCGCTTGGAAGCCCCCTCCTCCCCTTCGAGTGCTAAGAGTTTGATCTCCAAATTGTCAACTTTGTCATGGATGACTGACAATTCAAATCCTTGGCAGCATCCTCTTTACCTCCATGATATGCAGCTGCAAGTAGGTGATGATCTTCTCATTTATTTGTATGGAGCATAGTATAAGATATTTAGGGGATTCCTAACCTCAATTGGGAGATTTTGGACTGTGAACTTTATGTAGTATTAGCTTTTTTGTCCTTTGCCCTTGTATTATTTTTTGGTGTTGACTGAAGGCAAGAGGTAATGGGATTTTTAAGGCGTGGGGTTTCACATCTATTGGGCATCGTTTAATTCATTTCTAAGGGGTTTTAGGTATTGGAAGCAGAAGCAAATGGGCTTGGGACACTGAGATATCGCCTTGGATCAAAGCTCATTAATTATCCTCTGGTCAAGCTAATACTTGCCTCAACATCAACTTCTAGGGAATCTGTATAATTGTGGATTTTTTGATTGCTATCTCCAGAGGAATGATTTGGGACTGAGGGGATGGTTAAATGCTTCCTAGGCTGGTGGCATCATTGATACCTGATTTATGGGCTTTTATTCTACATCTCTTTGAGCATAAGGAGTAGCTATCTTACCCCTGCCATGGTTGGGGGTGGATATGTTCTGAACATCATTAGGTGGCTTGGAAGAATGCACATCTTCCAGGTGATTTCGGACCTCTTCAGCTAGATTAGAATTCAATATGTGAATGTTGCAGTTCTCTTGGTGTGAGATCATTACTTGTTGTGCAGATTATTGGCTTGCTTAGCATCTGTCATAGGCTATGTTTGGTTGCCTCCCAAACCATGGTTTGGGGCAATTTTGTAGATTGTTTAATCTGTAGAAACAAGAAGTGGAAGATGGCCCATGTTGATGCCTCATTTATTCGAATTAATCTTCAACCGTAAAAACACGCCTGAACTGCAAATTAAATTAAGGGATTTCTACAAAGAGACCATTTATCTTTTGTATATGGAGGTCACAATCATTCTTGTCCCTTAAATTTCAAAATGGGTGGTTGTAAGAGTGTCATTGAATAAGGCAAGAAGCCTGGGTATAAACTGGCCAGCGTGTCGGGCGATAGAATTCGTGGCGCTCCGTTCCCAGGCTCCAGTCCTACAAACGCCAGGGTAAGGGGATTCTCCCCACTGAGCAATGGAAAAAAGAGAAAAAAAAAAAAGAAATTTAAAAAAAAGAGTGTCATTGAATAGACACAAAGTTCCAAAAAAAAAAATTCTCGGACTTCGTGACTCACCCCACACCATCTAAGGAGTGGGAATGTTTGTGACCTCCATGTATAAAAGATAAATGGTATCTTTGTAGATAATCCCTTAAATTAAAACACCCATCTACCTTTCTCCTCTCCCTTTTTTTTAATCCACTTTTTCTCACTTTTGAGCTCAGAACTCTCGCGAGTCTGTCAAACACCCTCTAACATCCTCATCCATGTTTGCACCTCTCTGTGAACTCTCTCTTACCCTCTCGCGTTCGGCGTTCCTTATTTCTCCTGTGCTCTCTTTTTGTTCCTCTCTTTTTTCTCTCTGTGGTTCCTTTTTCTTCTCTCTTAATTTGTTTTTTTCCAGCTTCTCTCTCTCTCTCTATTTCCTTATTCTTCTCCCCTTCTCTCTAACCTGACATTCTTGTTTTCTGGCAGCACTCTTTTTGTTTCTCTTTCTAGTGCCTCTCTTGTCTTGTTTTCTCCAGCTTTATTGTCCTTATATTCCATCTCTTTGGTTTTGTCATCCATTCTCCTCTCTTGATTGGTTTCTTCACTTTGTTGTGCTTGGCTTTGGAAGGGCTAGAGGGCTGAACGCCTATTTTTTAGATTTATTTTTTAGGCTTTTGTGAGATCTTTGCTTGATTTTCTTGTTCTTGGTTAAATGTGATGGAGCCTGTTGTTTTGGGTGTTGATTCTGCATTGACCTGAAAGTTTGAAACCCTTCTTTTCTACGCTTCTTTCATGTTCACCAAGCTCTGATATTTCCTGAATCAGTGAGAGAAGGATTCTATTTCATCATTTGCATCACCCAATTCCTGCAACTCTGCAATCTGAATCTTTCAAATGATTGACTGAACAGAGAGAGGCTGACTCACCATGGATCCTATGATCCAACTTGATCAGAATCCTAAGCCGACACTTTTTCCCCAAACTCATGAAACCCATAAGCCAAAACATCCTCTCTCTCTAAATTGAGTAACCCAAGATTTGTACTTTTTTGGCCATAATTCACAACCAATTCCAAAATCAGGTCTCGCACTCTCAAGCCTCTCTCACTTTTGCTCTTCTTTTTAAATTTTAGAGAGGATGTAGATTTGGTTGCATAAAACACACTCTGTTATTTCCAGTATGGGAAGCTGACGGATAACAAAGGCATAAAGGAGGCAGCAAAGTAGTAGCTGGAAGCCCACAAGAAGAGGTAGAGCCCCCTTTCTCTATTTCCTTTCTTTACATCTCTCTCCTCCCTAAAGGCACCTTACTCTCTTCACTCTCTCTACTTTCTCTCACTGCCTCTGTTTCCTGTGTCCTTTCTCGTCTTTAGCACCTACTCTACCTCTCTCTCTACTCTCTCTTTACAAAGCAGAGAGGAAGATAGAGGAGAGACAACAAGCAGACCCATGTGATCTCAAGCTGAAGCATCGGAATGGGTTTTCTCCTATAGACGCTATGTGCCCCTTCCACTTGATGGTGTAATTTTCATGTCTTCTCATAGAGAGCACATCCATGAAGCATCAATTTCGCATAGAAAGAGAGACCTATTTGACAAAACCTGGTGGCCTGTTAAATTAACCCAGCCCCATGAGCGAGAGAAGTGGCTTTTAGATAGACGAGGGTTTGTAGACATAGATCCATGGATCCATACATCTCGATCGGAAAAGAGTTGATAGAAAAAGAAAGAATCGGAATTGATCGATATGTTTCTTAGAGTTTTTAGAGAAGTGGAATAAAGAGTTTTAGCTAGTCTAGGTGAGTTTAAAGATTTTTTTTAATCTCAGTTTCTTTTGAAGGCTTCAAAATGGCGCCAAATTGCCCTCAACCATAGATTAATTTTAGTGCTGTTTGTGAAAACCTAGCAATCTACGTTTAAGAACAAATATATATTTATCAATGTTCAAGAAAGCAGAGGTGCCCACCTAGGATTAAGCCCCCCCCCTCCCCCCCCCACCTCTCTCTCTCTCTCTTTCTAAAGCCAAACTCAAAAGGTTTTCCAGCTAATTCACATTCAAAGATGCCCACAATAACGCAATATTACACTGGGCCAAAATTTGCGTAAATTTTTAAATCTGTCTCGTGTGTTTGTGAGTGTGTTTTTAAGGGATTGAGGCAAGGCAGATAAATGGGTTCTTTCTTTAATTTTAAATGCAAATGATTGATTCTTTCTCTAGATATATGAAGCCTCATGTCTCCCCCCCCTCTCTCTTTTAAAACACACACACACGTGTGATGGCTCACTTGTCTCTCTCTCGATCAGGATCAATCATATAGTGGGGCATTGTACTCTCTCTTGAAAGGTGGACTAGGTGACCGGGCAAGGCAATACCGATTAATTTTTCTTATCCTTTATACATATTGCCACCCGGATCACTTACAAGTGTCCAAAATACAAATTGATTTAATCAAATAGCCATGACCTCTCACTTGCATGCCATTAAAAGAAAATCACATTCATCATGTAGAACTGAAAATTACATAAGAAAGAAATGGAAGCAACAGAAGGACGAAATATGAATCAATGCGTACCTTGCC